TTTAGTCCCCTCTACTCAGTGCCAGCACCAAGATAGGCAAGTTTCTGTGCCCTGCTCCTGCTGTCTTCAGGGTCTTCTGCAGTTCCTTTCAGCTGCATCCACAGAATTCAGCAACATTGTGAAATCCTGACCTACAAAGATGGCAGCTGCATGACAGATTGCCTGCCACCAGTCAGTACTGGGCTCTAGCTCCTGTCCCCAGCACTCATAACTGGTCAGATCCAAAGCAGAAGGTCTCCAGGGTTTTGTCCAGTCCCCTGCCATCTTGGGCTCACCTGCCTCTGCTTATGATTGGCCTGTTCATCTCACGTCAGCCCCGAGGCTTCTTGTTTAAAAAGGTGATTGTTACACTGGGTGCCGGGTGGATAAAGCCTGTAACCCTAACTACCTGGGAGGCAGAGATCAGGAAGAACATGGTTCAAAGCCAGCCCAGGCACACAGTTCCTGCAACACCCTGTCTTGAAAAAACCCTTCACAAAAAAAGGGCTGGTGGAGTGGCTGAAGGTGTAGGCCCTGAGTTTAAACCCGAGACCCATCAAAAAAAAAAAAAAAAGAAGCTGTATTTCACTCTCACAATTGTTTTAATTGGGAGGGTTTCTGGGGTCTTTCCTATATTTTGGTTACTGCATGTCTCTGAACTCACTCCTGTTTCTCTTGTTGCTCTAATTAATTGTTGAATCCTTGGTGTGCTGTCTTTGTTTTGTATGAATTCAAACACACACATACACCCCCCAGACCAGAGACTAGGATTCAGGTGTCAGATGTCTCAAGGAAGTTCCATCCTTTGATCAAGGACCCCCTTCAATCAAGAATTATCTTTTACTTTGTATAAAGTTGTTTGAAGTTGCCACCTGCAGATCCTTTGAAGATGGGTTTGATGTAGAAGGTGGTTACAGCGGTGGGGGGTGTGTGTCACTCAAAGACTCCTGTGGGTTTGCCATGCAGTTTTCCTCCTCTGAGAGTTCCTTCTACCGCTTGGATTCTGCACAGGAACGCGGAGCTTCTGTGTGGGAAGATTGTGGGCACAGAGCACAGGACAGCAGCCGAGGCTCCAGCACCTGGCCCTAGGTCCACCGCCCCGCCTCTTGGTTCTTGATCTGGGCTGGGGTGTGAGCGCCCTGACCTTCCACGCTGTACATTACCATGGGTGCGTGCGATCTTCCTCAGGAGAGGATTTATAGCTCCAATGAGCTGTAAAGAAATTGGGCAAGCAGTGGCTTCACAGGAGTGAGTGGGACTGGGTCCTCCTGACTTCCGTTGGCTTGAAGATACCGGTCAATGACTGCTTTAACTCCAAAGAGGGCTGCTTGAGCTAGAAGTGTTTTGTGTAGCATTTTAAAGTGGTATTTATGCACACTTGTTAGTAATCATCTCTTAGGTTTTTTGCCAAGAGTAAACAAGATCCCATTGGTAATAACATTTGTGTTGCATGTATGCGGCTTGTCTTGATGCGTGTTCAAACAATGAAGCCATGTCATTACAGACAAGTGAGATACCGTTTAAGCTTTCTGTTCCTTCAGGAGCCATTTGTTAGAAAAAGTGGAAAGTGCACTGCTCAAGCTCGGTGTGACGTGAGCAGGACGAAGGTTCCCAAGTCTGCGGAATCCTGCATGGGCAACACCCTAAAACTGACCTCCTGAGAGGCCAGCCGGGCAGGGACTGTGACCTGGGACAAGTCATTCCCTGTGCCTCAGTTTCCCTTGATTAAAACTGGGATGGTAACATCCACATCAGTGGTGCTGTGAGGTGAAACTAGGTAATCTGTGGAAAGGAGACCCAGACCCTCATAGCTGTGCAGTAAATGCAGGCTTTATTGTTGTAGGCTGATTTCTGTCACCTAACCCAGGTAGCACTGATGAAAGGCAGAAAACAGTTCAATAAAAAATAAATAATAATTTTTTTAAAATCCAACCCCTAGTTGATGGAATTAGTTTGCAAAAGGCATTGTTAAATTCTGTTCTATAAAGACCCACAAGTAACATGGAGCCATCCAGGAAACGAGAAAAGGTAATTTCACATCTCCACAAGTACAGAGCAATGGGTTCTTTTTTTTTTTCCCCCAGCATTATTTGACTTAAAATTAGTTCCCTGGGTAGAAATATGTGTAAACGTTCCTATGCCTGTGGTAGCAGCAAAGGGTCTATCCATTTTACTGTGAACTTAACACAACTGTAAAAAAAAAAAAAATCTTGTAAAACAAGCCAAACACTCTAAAATTTATTTAATCTTTTGGGGTGGTTTTGTTTTGGGAGGTCCTGGACTTGAATTTAGGGCTTTGCGCTTGCTAGGCAGGGCTGTGTCACTTGAGCCACGCCCCAACCCTTTTGCGTTTAGTTTGTTTTTAAAATTCGGTCTCATGCTTTTGTTTGTACCGTGATCCTCCTTTGCCTCCTGAGTAACTAGGATCACAGGCGTGGGCCATCACGCCTAGCTTGTTTTTGAACTAAGGACTTGCAACTTTTGCCTGATTAATCTCAGAACCGTGATCCTCCTATCTCTGCCTCCCAAGTAGTGGGGATTACAGGCATGTGCCACCATGCCTGGTTCTAAAATGCTAACTCTTCATCCCTGACTTCTTAGCTGTTCTAAGAAACTGCTCATTTTTGTGTACCTTTCAGATATGTACTGTGCATAGGCCAGGAGGTGTGAGTACGTATCTTCTGCCAGCTTTCCTTTTTTTTCTTTTAGTGATACCAAAACATTGTTTCTCATGACTTAGTAGATCTTGTAGACTTCCCATTTAATGCAATATAGAGCTCTGCCTCATTCCTTCAACTCAGCCCTAACGTCAGTTTATTAAAAGAACATTCTACTTCCCTTTGAAAATAGACAAGTGTGAAGCCAGGAGTTCAATAGAAAGAGAACATGTAGGAAACCCCCTCTTCTGATCAGACATGGGGCCTAGTTATGCTAACGGAAGTGGCAGTATTTACCTAGAAACACTCAGTCTTTAAAGAAGTTGCACTCCCAGCCCTGCCCCCTGCCTCCAGGTGGCTGGGTTGAGGCCCACGGCAGGGTCCAGATGAGGACAGCACAGCACAGCACAGCCTCTGATGGTGCGGTGAGGAGGAGCAGGAGCCTTCCTAAAGCCTGGCCTGCGGCCCTGCTGCTCACCCAGGGAGTTCTGCGCCACTACCCCATGGTTGGTCTTTGTGCAGTGCCTGACGTTACACAACGTGTACAGCCTGTTCTAGCTTTTAAGTTGCTTTTCTGTAGGACATGCTGTTCTGAAGGTATAAGAGGACACACAGTGAATGATCCCTTAAGCCCCAAGTTTCCTCCCCAGAGACAACTTACCAGTTCTGTGTATTTATAAGGACAGATGTGGCTGGGCACTTGACTCATGCCTGTAATCCTAACTACTTGAGAGGCTGAGATCATGAGGATTGAGGTTCAAGGCCAGGCCTAGCAAGTAGTTGAAGAGATCCCCCAGCTCCAAAATTACGGGCAAAAGTGGACTGCAGGTGTGGCTCAAGTGGCAGAGCACCTACTTTGCAAACATGAAACCCTGAGTTCAAACCCCAGTCCCACAAAAAAAAATAAAACTTAAGAAAAAAAGGACAAGACGTTGGCCTTCTTTTCCTTACACACTAAATTTCATACACGTCTACCTCGACTTAGGTAAGTATATTAAGCTGTACTGAGTAATAAATTGTCCAGATCATTCTATAATTACTATGTGTATATTGCTCCCTTATTATTTTCAAGAGCTGCACAGTATTCCTTTTTATGATTTTCTTAGGAAACCTAACAGCAGGCAGTTAGAGAGACAAGGTGTTGAGGCAAGGAAGTGACTTTATTCCAAAAGCCCACCTGGGTAAGGAAGGGCTGGAGCTGATGAGTAGTTTATTCAGGCAGGTGGGAGGTTCTCAGAATGCTGACAGGAGCCTGGTGCTTGCCTAGTTGTGAGATGCTTTTCAGCTGCAAAGCTTGAGAGCAAAGGTCCTTACTTCCTCAGACTCTTGTCGCTGATTGGTTGATCCATGTGCGGTGCCTGACATTTCACAGTGGACAGGCTAAAGGCTAGGTGCCCCAGGCCCTCTTCCTGGTCACTAAATCTCACAGCAGTAAAACATAATTACCTGATTATTGGGAGACAAGGGTCTGTTGAGGGTAAATGGGGTCGGGCGTGAGATCTGAGCTCAATCCTCAGCTTCAGTTAAACCCAAATATTCATACCCCAGTCCCACAAGAAAAAAAATGCCAAAATAAATATCATGACCATACTTAAGTGTACTCATGTTCAGTTCAAGTGCTACTAATTGGATAAATTATATGAAATCAAACTTGAGCAAATTGAACAGGTCCACTTCTTTCTTTTTTAATATTTCATTCTGAAGAAAATATTTACACAAGGCCAGACATGGTGGTTCACAGCTCTGATCCCAGCTACTTGGGAGGCAGAGGTAGGAGGATCACGTTTTGAGGCCAGCCAGGGAAAAAGTTAGCACGATATGCTATTTAAAAAGCAGAAAAGCAGTAGAGTGCCTGCCCAGCAAGCAGAGGCCTGAGTCCAAGTCCCATTACTGCAAAAAAACAAAAAAGTTAAACAGTAGAAGAGTCTTGTAGCCACATGTGCCCACCATTCAGCCTCGGGCCAGAATGGTGTTTTGTTTTGTTTGAGACAGGGTCTTGCTGTATAGCTCAGGCCAGCGTCCCACTCAGGAGCTTCCTCACTCAGCCTCTCCTAAGTTAAAGGTTTATAGGAGTGAGCCACCACACGTGTATCTATAAATATTTCATTTGTATCTCTTCAAGATGATTTTTCTCTTGTGATAACCCTTATCACATCTAATACCCAGTCATGTTAACATTTCCTAGATGGTGTTTTCATTTTGTTGGTTTGTTTT